ATGTAAGAAAAATCACCACAAAAATGTTTGCTTTTACAGTTATACTAAAAAACTTCAAAAAATCTAAACTGTACAAAGGTTAACTGTATGAATGTCTAACTTTCAGATTACCTGAAGGAAACCTCTTTTCATATATGTGTAGCCTAGTGTTTATGTCAAAATATTGTCTGTACGTGCTGTCCAATGCTATGTATTAAAACAGGTCTAGGGCTCTATTTGAGGATCGACTATGCGAGCAGAGAAGCAAAACTGTACATCTCCATATGATGTAAAGGCGTGCCCAATGCTCCCTGATATGCTTCGAACAATGACACTGTGTCGATCGGTGTTTTGAACTTCTTGGAGAGAAAAATCGAACTCGGTGTCATGCTGCAGTTGCAGTGTGTTATTGAGATTATAAGAACCTGGTTTTTTTTTTTTTTTTTTTGTTTTTTGGGCTGTGGAATGAAGAATTCTGAAGTTTTTTTCTGGTTTTCACAAGGGAAGGAAGGAAAAGCTATGTAGATAGGAATGCGCAGTGAATGCAGAAATTTCTGTTTGTCCCCTTGCCTACCCGACTAGAAAAGGACTTGTTATCAACTTCTCACATTTGGGGGGTTGTAGGTGCTCCCACCCCACCACACAGAATACGATCGGAGAAAATAATGAATAAAAGTATCACGTGTTTTTCTTTTATCATCCTACTATATTCCATCTATTCATACAAATCTTGTTTAGTTGTTCTTGTTTCTTAATCATTTCTTGTTGACATAGACAAGGAATGTGTGAAGTGTTCTGACAAGATCGAGAACGAAAAAGGTCTTTGCCCCTGTTTGAGCCAATTTTTGGGGACATAAAAACGAATTTTTTTCCGTTACATCTCTCTTCAAGCCGTAATTTTTGACTTGATTGTGTCATGTGTGGACCTAAATTCTATACCAATGCTCAACTTTTTCATGAAAATGATTTGAAAAATATAGCACAAAGTGGCTCTTGATATATTTGTTTATGTTCGGACTCTACTTACCATGCACAGCGGAAAATTAAAACAGATTTCGATTCCTACCAAGAATCGCCTTTGTGTTTAGATAGAAATTGTGATAAGATTGTACTTTTTTCAGATCTGCAAGTTTCTTTGCTATTCTTTTGGTTCCAGCAAACTTGATTCGTCACCCACAGCTGTTCAATTGTCTAGTCTCCAACGATGATCCACACAGAGAACAAGATTGCAGCTTTCAGGGTTTTCTTCTCTTGTGCTAGCAAGAATAATTATGAGAAAAATCACATGAATTGAAAACCCTAGCCATGTATTTATATAAGCTCAAACGAGTCTGGCCTGGTCCAGTCCAATATTTAATTAATCCATTTAATTAAATTCGGTCTGTGAATTAATTAATACAACGATTGTTAAATTAATTAATTAACAAATTGCAATCTTCCAATTCTCTTTTGTGTGCGACCCATCAGGTTTCCGATCACAATACCTAACGACGTGAAACATTATTTTGATCTAATCAAAATTGATAAATTAAAACACCCTTTTAATTTATCGTTAATTTACACTCGCCATCCCATATTTACATCTAGCAATGTGTCAAGGCAATACATATGAGAAATGTCACGTGGTATAACAAAACCAAACTCATTCGTTTACCGTGAAACTATAATCCTATTGTCAATATGATCCGATCAATTACGAGATATGAAAGTGTGTCAATCCCGAATATCAATCATATTTTTCACTTCACTATTAAGTCAATATAAGTCGAAAACTCCTTTTCGACTTATAAGTACACGTTGGCCAAGGATTTTGTTATCGACTTAATCGAATGAAACGCAGATCACAATCTCTTACTATCTAAGAGTAACAAATCATTTATTGATCATTCGCAACCTTCATACGATTCTTGACGTACTCGAAGGATGTCGTATTAGCAGCCCTTTACAGAGCAACATCTAACACTGTCAAAGTATGACCGTCCTCATATAAGATACCATGACGACCTCAAGTCAAAGGACCAATTCCACTACCGAGCGTTAGAGACTAACCACTGACACTCAGATAGTTATCCATGTGGAAACTCTCGGCGGGTCTCCAATGTTTTGTTCTATAACAAAACATTCACGTGTTCATTTAAGTGTCACCACACTTTAACTTGTGAGATCAGCTACTTACTTCATAAGTAAAAAATGTCACACGTGATGGTCTATCCGTAATAACGATATCCGTATCTCATTATTACTTACGACCACAAACGATTTAAGATTCAATCAGATGTAATTTGTATCTCACAATCACAACTCCTTATAATTAACAAATTATGAAGATTTAAATTTACGGACTCTAATATTTATTTAATTGTCTATTAGTTAAATAATAGATTTGTCATTAAATTGCATTAATTATATATCAAAAGTATTTATGTCCAAAGTTGATTGGATTTAGGGCATAATACTTACAAACTCCCACTTGCACTAGATCCAATCACTTATGTATCCAATATCATAAGTCTAAATGACGATCATGCTTATGCTACGACAAATCTTTGTCAGTGGATCTGCAATATTGTTAAATATGAAAATTTGTTCTTCTCTTTACGTCATTTCTATGTATTATCTCTCTGATGAGATTATACCGCCTTAATATATATTTGGATCATTGATGAGACCTTAGTTCCTTCGCTTTCCCAATGGCTCTATTGTTATCACAATACAATGGCATGTGATCAACAATATCAGAAACTACTCCAAGTTCATTTATGAACATCATGATCCAGAATGCAACTCTTTGCTACTTCTAAAGTAATCATGTATTAGATTTCTACTATTGAATCAACGGTTGCTTCACGTTTGGAACCTTTCCATCATACCGCTTAAGAGTAAACCAGTTTCTCCATATGAAATCTTCTCAAGATGAATATAAATTGGGATGAGTTAAGCAATCTTCTAGATCTACCTCTATAGATCAGGTTGCTTCTCTCATATCGTTCATGAATAAATCCTTTAATAACCATTATTTCAACGATTGAAATATAGGGATGTCGTTTTCTATAATATTAGGAATACGACAATGTTCCCACTATCTTCTTGTAAATACACAATTCGTCTTCAAATTTGATAACATCAAACACTTTGACTTTTTCATCAAATTTAAGATTTCAGCTCCAAGAGACTTCTCTTAACTTATAGTCACGGTATGCAACTGTTGTAAGCAAAACCCGAATGGACTTCAGCAAGACTACATGAGAAAGGTTTCACCAAAGTCAACACTTAACCTTTGCTTCTAACCTTGCTACGTATATATGGATATTCTCATCCATATCGACCTTGTCCTTGTAAACTATTTACAAAAACTTATGGATTTTATTCTATCAGGAGGCTTGACCAAGGTCCAAACTGTAACGCCCCGACCCGCATGGATGGAAACGTCACTTAAACCATTGTATCTTAGCCGTAAAGTTAGTTCAATATATTTTTAGTAGAAGGTATAAAGATTAAATTTTAGAATTTAATTAAAAAAAAAATTTTAAAATAATAATCCAATTCTAAAATAAAACAATTTCAAAAATGTTTTTAGAATGAGTTACATGCATGTAACGACTATTGACGTGAAATTTTGGCAAAACTTAAAAAGTAATGCTGCTATTCCAGTATTTATCTCAAACAGAAATTGTCAAAATAAATTTGTTTTCATAGCTATCGATCTTGAAATTTCATCAAATTTTAACTCCTTACAATATGACATAGTCAAAAATTAGCTTCCGTCGACATCATATGGGGTATTAAAATATTTTTCAAAACTCAGCAGCGATCCAATTAAAAGGTAAACCAGTGCAGTTCACTTAAAATGGCATATAAAATTTCACCGATGTCAAAAGCACATGATTTCAAATTTATTCAGTAGCTAATCCATGAGACTATCGAATCCAATTGGTTTCATCCAAAAATTCCAAGTAACGAGTGAGTTATGAATTTTTGAAAACAATGGTAGAAGCTGAAAAATAGAGATAGCAACCAACACAGTTTACTTTATGTGACATATAACCTTTTACCGATATTGGATTGACATGATTCCAATTTTATTCAGTATCTAACTTATTAGGCTATCCAATTCAATTTGTTTCGTATAAAAATATCAAGTAACGAAAGAGTTATATTCTTTTAAAGATGAGGCAGAAACTAAAATTTCTGAAGAGACGTCAAAACTTTAAGTTGCTAACTTTTTTTTTGTATACGGTGATTTGTAAATTTATTCCTATGACGCATATCTACTTTCATACATAGTTTATGCATAACGAGTGTTCAATAAAATAGATCCACACAATATTCATAGGAATCAAATTTAAAGAAAGTGTAAACATCTCAAAATCAACTAAAGATGTAAATCACTGGCTTCTCCATGACATGTTGCATCATCATTTACCATCATCTACGCACCAAGGAAAATCCATTCAACCTGTAGGAAGGGAATTAACCCATGAGTTTGAAACTCAATAGATATCATCGGTGCAATTCGTTATCAAATTAGAAATTTCGAACTATAGATTCATACCGTCACACGTAGATGGATTTCCGGCAAAATTCAATTACTATAGCATTATCATATCACGTAGAGCCGGAGAATGATCATTCAAACTGTTGTAGTGTCGAAGCACCGTACCCGAAGGTACCATTTCATTCAAACATTTATCGAAAAATCAAATTTGAAAACGAATGAACACTTACATCTCTACCTACCTTGAATTTTCTTTGATAAAAGAACAAAATATATAGAAAGCATTCCTTCTTCTCACCCTTGTTATTCTTTAAGCTTAACTTGATATGAAATTTTTATTTTTTTATTTTTTTTTTAGAGAAAATGAGATGAAATTTGGATTTGAAGATGAGTGTAGTGAAAAAGTGACCTTCCACTTCTATAACCTTTCTTTTTAATGAAAAATTAAGTGGGGGAGTTGTATTATCATTAAATTTATTAAATTTAGTCTTTAACTAAGAATTTGAAGAGTCTCTAAGCCATAAAAATAATTCATATGAAAGTTTTATAAAAAAAAATCTACATTGTGATTTGAACATGGGTTGTCTATATGAAATACCATGTAGATGACCATTGTGGCAACCCAGTTATTCATTAAATTTTTGTAATCAATTTTACTTAAATTTAATCTCTTAAATTACTGGGCTTTTAGTTAACTTATGACTTGGGCTTTCGTAATCTTACATGGGTTGAGCTTTCATAGGTCGTTTCTAAAATGGGTTAGGCTCGTGGTGCTAGATCATCACAAAATAATAGCATAATTACATTTTATTTTTTCTCGGCTACTACACAAACCTTGTTCACATACGTCGAGTTCATCTCGAGTTTCATGACCTCTTGCTATCTCTTTTAAGTCAACAATTGACTTCATTTTGTTGCAATTAGCAGGTTCATTAACCTATGTCGTGAGATGAAGACTTTCTTCATGATAATAGAAGTTATATTCAAATGTCTGTTTTGAATATCTCCACAGATACTTATTTATCAGATTTAGTATCAAACTTATCCAATTCAACGCGCTTCAAATAAGCATCATGACCCCAAACTTTCATATGAGATAAATTGAGACTACTGCCTTTCCATAACTCGTATGGATTTCTGTTAACCAATTTAGATGTGACATGATTTAGTGTGTTGCACACTGCAATCAATGCATGAACCAAAACAATTTTGGGAGATTTGCATGGCTTGTTATTAATCACATTATATCTAATAATTAACGATTCCTCATTTTAGATACACCATTATGCTGCAGTGTATATGAAGGAGTCCACTGCAAGAGAATCTCATTCTCTCTTAGATAATCTAAATTTTATCTTTAAGATATTCTCACTCGATCGAATCTTAATGTGAGGGTATCTTCACCTATTTGTTTCTCTACTTCTAGTTTAAATCCCTTGAACTTTTTAAGAGTTTCATGTTCGAGTTTCACCAAGTATACATGATCATTGATGAAATAAGATAAACATTATCTGACATCAATTGACATGAATCCATATGCTTCACTATGCATCA